CCAGTGGGGCATCACGCTTGGTTAATCCTGCCATCTGTCAGGAAGGAGCAGGCCGTACAGAGTGCAGGCCAGACCACCAGGAGCAGTAGGGCCTGCTCACTGGAGAACCACATGGCTTGGCCTTGTCCCTCAGTCCTGCTTTTGGGTTGCTCAAACTCACAGGCATAAGGACAGCGATGCTGTGTTTAGACCATCACTGATAACTGGATTTGGTTGTTAGCCTCTGAGGTCTTTGGTCCCTTAAAACCAGCCTGCTATTATTGTGGGGGGCAGATGAGAGTGGTGTGATAATGGGATGCCAAGCTTTTAGGAATACTGGGATAATGGGTTCACCATGGTCCATGGTATTTATATCACTATGCAGGGCAGTTTCACTTCCCTTTACTTTGAAACTGCAGGTGGATTCCTAGATAAAATGATGCAGAGATCTCATCATAATATCTCAACTGTTTCTGCTAGTCAGCAATGCTATTAAACGGAGTGGCTTTTGCTTAAAGGGATAGTACACTCAAAAAAATGTTGTCACCATTTTCTGACCCTCATGCTGTTCCAAGATGCATGTTTTTCTGTGGAACATTCTGAGGAACGTTTGGCTCCTTGTTCCACAGAAGACCATAATTCATATATGTTTGCAACAACATGAGGGGCAGTAAATAACTTTGGGTCTCCTACTTTTTAAAAATGTTCTTCAAGGAAATTTAATTTTCCACCAAAATAAAAGTTGAATTTGAAGATGTGTTTGTTATTGTTAGATTTAGTTTAGTAATTTTTAGATTTAAACAATGCATTAATTTGCATTTATTTAGAGATACAAGCCAGTTGACCAGTAACTATTTTATTTACCCACAAAAGCCAGTTGGCGCCTGAATTTTGTCTTCTCAGGAGTGCCAGAAGACATCTCATTAATGGCTTCAATTGGATTTTTTTAAAGTTTGTATTCAAGAGTCTGAGTTTTTAACATAACAGCAACATTTTTCCATCAAATTCTTCCTGGCTGAATTATCTGAGCTACTGTATGCAATCTGCATTCATTTTATAGCTGTATACCCATATTTTTAATTTAATTTCTCCCAACAAATTGTTCAAAGAAACATCAAAGACCAAGCTTATACTTCCATGAAGCTGAAAATAAAGTTGAATTTGAAGATGTGTTTGTTATTGTTAGATTTAGTTTAGTAATTTTTAGATTTAAACAATGCATTAATTTGCATTTATTTAGAGATACAAGCCAGTTGACCAGTAACTATTTTATTTACCCACAAAAGCCAGTTGGCGCCTGAATTTTGTCTTCTCAGGAGTGCCAGAAGACATCTCATTAAAGGCTTCAATTGGATTTTTTTAAAGTTTGTATTCAAGAGTCTGAGTTTTTAACATAACAGCAACATTTTTCCATCAAATTCTTCCTGGCTGAATTATCTGAGCTACTGTATGCAATCTGCATTCATTTTATAGCTGTATACCCATATTTTTAATTTAATTTCTCCCAACAAATGTTCAAAGAAACATCAAAGACCAAGCTTATACTTCCATGAAGCTGAAAAAGCTGGATATATAGATGTTTTGCTGTTCACTGAGCCACCCAACTTCATAACCACTGAAATCAAAAGTTTACATTTTATTTTAACAGACACTAAATTCAGTTTCACAAATTTAATTAAGAAAGAATAAGTTGACCAGTTTCTCATTATTTTCATAATAAGCCCTTTCTCTATCAAACAGCTCTCTTTCAAAGAAGACTGCAAGACTGCATGAATAGCAACATCAGCCACTAACTCCACCCCCAAATTAACTCTGTGCATAAATATGCAAATGTCACTGCTTATTTTGGTCTCGCCTGCGTAATTGCTTCTCATGTGAATATTGAGTAAGATCAAAGCCACAGAAAATGTACTGATAACTCAGGCATTAGGAGTGGACAGAGCAAGAGTGGCCTAAAACAGCTTAATGAAGTGCTCTTGCCAAAGGCCCCCATCGCACTCTGTTTATCTCCCCCCGACCTCATCGCTCACACTTCTGTTATCAGGAGTGTTTACACTGGCGCTCCACTCACAGGCTGATTAATTAACCACCGCCTCTGCCCCACCACACAAGTCACATTGGGAAGAGTTTCACAGTGTAAAAATGCAGTCCAACTCCTCCCTTCCTTTAAATAGCAAATTGATGGATGCGGTCTGTCCTTTTGCTGACTCCATTTCTTAAGTCACCAGCATTTTTTTTTCTCCATGCTATAATGCAAGACAATCTTTCCTGATGACATCAAATTGCAAGCATGGTTGAATAAATGGTGCCACATGTCAGCGTTACCCTTGCCAGCATGAAAGAGGAATGTTGCTTTTGTAGATCATTCCCATCAATATTCCTCCATTTGTCTATGTTTATAGAGTTATCAGAACATTTTTAGCATGAACTTTCTTTCCTATCAGATTTTCCTATGAATAATGTGTAGCAACTGCTGTATTTTGAGCCCAGCCACTGCTGAATGGAAAAGTTGTTACGAAAGTCAGTCAAATCAAACAACTGTATGAAGTAAGCACTTGAGAACCTGTAACACCAGGTATTAACATGCCCCTCAGGTTAGCTGCTCACAATTGAAAAACACCAAATACAGAAGTTAAGACAGTCCAAAACGTGTTATGATCACAGGTAATCAAAACTTATTCAACCACATTGCGTTTGTAGAATAAAGGCTAATTCATTATAATGTGTCCAAGACAGCAACAAAGGACCAACTATTCAACTGGATTAAAATATAAGTATATGTTTCTTCAAGAAACTTTTCAGTTTGTTCTTCAGTAAATCAGTGTGCCATTTTTATTATTGTATTACTTTTTATTCACACACATAGTGTGATGTATATACACCACCATTCAAACGATCAGTAAGATGTTTTTCTCTTTCTTTCTTTCTTTCTTTCTTTCTTTCTTTCTTTAATGACACATTCAATTGATCAAAAGTAAGAAATTTATAATGTTACAATGTTTTTCTTTTAAACTTTCTATTCATCAAAGAATCCTGGGAGGGTTGGGAATGAGCAGCACAACTCTTTCAGCACAGCTATATTATATTATATACTTTTTTATACTTTTTAATAAAAACAAATTCAACCTTGGTGAACATACAGTAAGAAATATATATATATATATATATATATATATATATTCCTACTACTTGTTTCACTTCTGTTTCAGCTTTTATAACCATTTCTTACCATGTGTAAGTAAGTTGTTGTTTTTAGCATGTGTGTTTGGCAGTGTTATTTTTTAGGATTGCTGATAAACTACTGAAGTTAACTTCCGGTCTGTGTTTGTTTATCGGTCAGACTCACTGTATATAATAATTATAATCATATTATAATTATTATATTATAATTATATAATATTATATAGTCATTATATATGGATCAGGGGTCTCACTAGTAATATGGTGCCGATTACAAACACAGTTAAAGTTAAGGTGATGAGTAGACCGAAGTTGGGCTCAGCTTGTTGTGCTGTGGGATGCCTTGTCAAAAATAAAAAATAAAAGACCAGACGAGACGGCAAGCATGGATAACCGCTGTGCGAAGAGAGGTTTGGCTGCCATGCAAGAATTCAAGGATCTGTAACACTCACTTTGTTACAGGTAACAAACTCACGATAAGCGACATACATTAGCTAGCTGACCAGTAACAAGCCTGCAATAGTTATGAATTAGCTACATTTATTGGTACACACGTAGATAACATTGTATACATTAATTTCAAATACTTGATTCGCTTTAGCTACAATTTGGACTAGCGTTATAAATGATACTGGTATTTTTCAAACATAAGAGCCACAATGGTTTTCCATCAATGCTATACAAATAACACAGTATTTAACAGTTGCTTTTGGCTTGCCCCCTGGGGACATAACAAATACAATAATGCATAGCTTTTCTAATGAAGCTTTAAATTAATTACTAAATAAGGACTTTTACTAGATTTTCACTGACGAATTTACTACATTATCACTGATACATTTTATCTGTAAAGCTTCTTTGTAACAATGCATTGTGAAAAGTGCTACAAATAAATTTTACTTTGATCTAATTTCATTGTAATAGTAGGCTACTAATGTTTTAATCATTTTTAAGCAACTCATATAATGCATTTTTTTACACAAAAATGTGCATGTAACCAGAAAATGTATGGATTATGCAAAGGATGTATGATGCTCAGCAAGTTGCAATACTGTCAACACTAACTGTTCCTGTCACTTGTTTTATTTTAGGTGCACCATGGTTCACAGAAGTTGGAGCGATACCAGCGGAGTCAGAGGAGATCATCTGTGGTTGAGCCCATGGATTCACCTTCCTTAGAGGTCACACAGGCTGACCCTGAAGAAGGATGCACTGCTGTGGGTACAGATCTGTCAATGGCAGACATTGACCAGCTACAGAATGAAAACATTGAATTAAAAAGAAAAATGGCTTCACTGGAGAAGAAACTGGAATCTCAAGAAAAACAACTACAAGATCATATGTTTGTCAGTCTGTCCGATTTTATTTTAAATGATGACAAGCGCACTCATTTTTACACAACTACTTCTGTGTTTTTCACCCTCCTCACTTACCTGACATCAATATGGAATGCATCATCAACCATACTTACCCTTCCCGAGCAGTTTCTTGTGGTCCTGATGAAGCTTCGTCTAGGCTTAACTCATCAAGACCTAGCTTTTCGCTTCAAAGTGAGTTGTGGAACTGTCTCAAACATCTTTCATGAATGGCTCGATGTGATGGCTAAAGAATTACAATGCCTTGTCCGGTGGCCATCCAGAAAAGAAATCAGAAGAAATCTCCCCACCCTCTTCAAGACTACAGGTTTCCAAAAAGTTAGATGTATAATAGACTGTACTGAAATGTTCTCTGTGAGGCCAACTAGTTTGCAAGCATGAACAATCACATACTCCCACTACAAATCACATAATACTGTGAAGTTCCTTGTTGGTATTAGTCCAACAGGGGCTGTTACATTTTTATCAAAAGTCTGGGGTGGTCGTGCTAGTGACAAAGTTATAACAAAAAATTCTGGGTTGATTGACCTTCTTGAACAAGGAGACCATGTAATGGCTGATAGAGGCTTCATTTTTCCTGAATATTTTGCCAACAAATGTGTCCATCTTCATGTACCAGCATCTACAAAAGGAAGAAAACAATTGACAGGATTAGAGGTGACACACTCTAGAAAAATGTCACGATTGAGAATCCATGTGGAAAGGGCCATAGGAAAATTGAAGTCATTCAGAATTCTGCGGAACACCCTGCCAGTCAGTATGGTCAAACGGAGAAATGATAACAGTCTTTGCACAATAGATAAAATATTAATTGTTTGTGCAGCATTTTCAAATCTGAGGAAACCACTTGTACCAAAATAAAGCAGGACTGAACCACAACTTAATTTGATACAAGATAACTTTTTTTATTATTACATATTTTAAAATGTCAAAAACATGCATTATAATATTTGTACTGTTGCACTATCAAAATGTTTCACATGGATTGTAAATAAAAAACTAAATTATATATTTAGTAATGAACACTAACAAATACTGATTAACTTATTGACTGAGGAATAAAGTACTGTAGAATACGATTTCTGCTGTTTTTAATGTATTTATGTATTTAATGTTTTTTTTAAAGAAAACACACCCTTTTTCTTGCTAGACTGATTTTAGATCAGCACTACTGAGCTGCTTTTGAAACCATTTTAATATAGCCATCACTCAACTGCAGTCTTCCCTCTACAAATTCATCCACAACTTTTGGCAGCATGTGTTTAAAGTAAAAGCTACGTAGCCTTTGCATATATGTATTGACAAAACCCTTGTCATAAGGCACATCAAGCTCCAGGTGCTGTATTGGGGTCCAAATAACAAGACAGTGCATCCCTAACTGTACCTGCCATGTCTTGGTTTGTTGCAGTGAGTGCATCATGAAGGGATGTGCAAGCACTGAGTGTGATGGGGCATTTTACTTCTCGCAGCTTGTTATCAGTGATACCATCAGGGCTTGCTGCCTGCACACACCACCAACCCTCTGTCCATCACTATGCAGCCCCTCTCCCTAATCTGCTCCTTTGCAAGTCCCTCGCTTTCTTTCCCATATCTTGTGGCCACACTTATCTGGAACTTTGGGTAGAGGTGTTCATTGAAAAACTTAACGGGGTCAGTTGTCTCACGCTGAGGCACCTTGCTGGCTGTGCTTGCTGTTATGCGCAGCTTGCGTGCATCATGCCAGAGTAGTTCTATGCTCTGTTTTCTTGTGTTTCTCTCTAGTTCCACCACTTGAACTGGGTTCAGTTTAATGAAGGCATCATAAAATGTTGTGCACTTAGGACAGCTCAGAGCACTACCATGTTCACTGTGGGGCTGAGCTAAGCTGCTGAACACATTGAATTCCTCTCCCTGAGCATCCTGCTCTCCCTGACT